TTTATTTAGATTTGAATGGTACATAGCTGTTATATTATTTAGGTTTAGACTATAAAACGTGCTGAAAGCCATAAAACACAATGAGTTTTCAAGGCCAGAGTGAATAGGCACTTACAGTATGTACCATCCTAAACTACATCTCACATAACATCAAGTGCGATTGCAATCAAATACCTGCCTTGTTCTGCATAAAAAAAACTTTGCATTTGAAAAAGAATACTGCCTATGGTGAGATAACTACGAACTTATATCACAACCGTCCGTATGCTGGGCGAATGCTCGAATAAAATGCCGTATTTTAAAAGCAATTTGGAGAAATTTGTGCAAGAGCCACAGGCAAGTCGAAAATATGATTTTACACGTCATAATTTAAGTTTATTTATTGTACTGATTTATATATTAAGGCTGGGTTGCACTATCTTACTTTACTGTAACAACGTCAAAAATCTGTCAAACTCCACACAAAAAACACTGGTTATCGTTATAGTTACGGCCAATGTTTGGTTGTGCAACTCAGCCTAACAGTATAGTGCTTTTGTCTTGCTCCGAAACTTAATAACTAGGAGAGGTTGTGTTGTATAGTGTCACACATTTTTATCGTAAAACTAGCTTTCCGCCCGCGGCTTCACCCGCGTGGAATTTTGTCTGACACAGAAAAACAATATCGCGCGCGTATTTGCTCACCGTTTAGACCTACCCTGGACTATGACAAACATTTTAAAACCAAAATCAGCTCAATCGGCCCAGCCGTTCTCGAGTTTTAATCAGACTAACGAACATCAATTCATTTTTATTTATATAGATAACCAAATAAGTGCTGATGTATTGTCATCTGTTCCTTGAATTGTGAGACCACAGAGCATTGGCACAGACTTGGTAAAAGAAAAGAAAGAAGAAAAGAAGATAAGAGAAGATGGCAGCGATGCTCTTTTCCTCAGGCCATGCAGGCGAAGGAATATGTGCATACCACTTTGTACTCTCTCGCCTCCATGACCTGAGGAACTGGGCTAAATCACCAATCGAAGAAAGAAGAAGGAAATGAAGAAGTGTCAGGCTCTATTTACTGTTATACACAATTTTTGGTATTCTACTGTTCCTCTACATAAGAATTGTCACAAAATTGCATGCTGTGTAAATAAAGAAAATTGAGTGAGACTTCTTGACTATTTTGGTACAACAAGCAATTAACCACACCACTGATTAACCATGAGATTTTTTTTAAACTTAAGGTGTCAGTGTCCAAAATGATTTTACTTTATGTTTATAAGTAGTCGAACTTCTCTTATTCTATTTATCTTCATAGGTTTTGACATACCATTTTCGGGTCATGTACGAGTATATTTGTCTTTCTTTGAAATTAACATAGGAGGTACAAACTCATTTTAATACAAAGACAACAATACGATAAAACGTGTGAAATAACACCGGTTGTGTATTTTGGTCCAAAAATATGAACAATTTATGGGCGATTACGTTATTTGCTTAAAATCCAAATATTATTGAAATAATTAAATATGTGCTTTCATGATCTTGTTGACTCATAGCATTAAATGACTTCGAACATGCTGACAACTGAAATGGTTCGACAACTCAGTGGCTAGAATACTCTCCCAGAAAGTGAAAGGTCGTGGGCTCATTCACATTCGAAACAGAGTTTTCTAGTGAAAAATAATGTATTAAAAGCAATGGTTTCCTGGCTTTCTTGCATAACCCGATATAATTATTATGNACGAGATCATAGGCAAGGCGGTGGGTGTGGTGTCTTCGCCGTCAAGGCTGCAGCTGCATAGCGGCGAGGCCATGGCCCTGTGCCGCGAGATCCAGCCGCGCAGTCTCAAGGTACCGCCGCCAGTATTCCTATTAGACGGTTGTTTAACCGTTCCAAGTAGCTCAATCCTTTAATAAATAATAAATAATAATAAATATATTTATTTTCTCTCCACAAACAGATTCTTAAAACTAGTCTTAAATTTAGTTTGGTACATTTGTCTGTGGGAGACTGGTGTCTAAACTAGGCAGAATCCTGCCTGTATCTTAGAGCACCAGGCCTCCAACCCAAGATACATAATTACTAAGGTTAGTAGGTACATCTTACAATTTGAAATTATTTATTTAGAGGTGTTGTGGAGATTTACTTTAAATATGTTTTATGTGTATAACGTGTATGTATGCATGTGTGGTGTGTATGTGTGGTGTGTATGTGTTTGGTGTTATTTATTTAATAAATTTTTCCGTTTCTTCATAGTTCTGACTCAAAAGCCATTTAGTAATTAACTTTTTAACTTCCGATTTAGACTTAGAATAGATGTTCAAAATTTTATTTGCTTGGTTGTATAACTTTTTGCCCAGATAACAAAAAAATCTCTTAGCAAAGACTGTTCGAAATGATTCTAATGTAACTATGTTCAAACGTCTTCGAGTATTCACTACTTGGCTATTATAATAAGTGAGGGAATGCTGTCTCATTAAGCTCAAAAGAATGAATAATTGCCTTACAGTCAAAACTTCTGCTTCATGATACAGAGCAGTGGTAGGGTAAAGTCTAGGTTTAAACAAACTTACTTTCAAAATAAGTCTTTGTGCTCTCTCTAGTTCAATTAGCTTCGTCTTGGCTGCTCCACCCCATGAGGTTAATTATGCAATAAGACAGCACAGATTGAACCAAAGACTCATAAACACATCTCATAACACTTCGATCTGCAATATGCCTAAGCTGCTTAAATACAAATACCAGTTTTCTAACCCTTTGCGATATTTTATGGATATGCTCTGCAAATGTAAGATTTTGGTCTATAATCACCCCTAAGTATCTAATACTATTTGTACTATTAATTTGTGGACAGTTACATGAATTTTGTGGTGTCGCGGAGCATTTGTGAGCATATAATTTAAAATTTTGATATTTTTTCAGGGCAGAATTGTTTATGGAAAAACATACATATTTCGTCTTTTCTGCATTTAATGTAAGACTATTTTCCGCTAGCCAACATGATACTATATCAAAACCTTCTTGTGCTAACGCAAACAATTTATCCCAGCTTTCAGCAACAAACGTCAAGGCTGTATCATCCGCGTATGAGGTGATATTACAGTTTTTAATATCTAAATTACACAGATCATTAATGTAGCATAAAAACAACGTAGGTCCAGTTATACTGCCCTGTGGAATACCAAAGGTAATTGGTTGTTCATCGCTGATCATATTGCCAATTTTGACCTGTTGGAAGCGATTATCCAAATAATCCTCAAAAAGGCTAAGCTGCGTTCCACGTATACCGAATTTTTTGGAGTTTATTTATGAGGATGGAATGCGAAACCGTGTCGAACGCCTTTTTAAGATCTAGAAATATAGTAAGGCATTTCATGTTACTATCCAAATTTCTTGCCGCAAAATCCACGAATTTATTAACAGCATCATCAGTAGACTTGCCTTTGCGGAATCCAAATTGTGAATCCGATAACAGCTTGTTTGATTCGAGATAGTCCGTTAGTCTGTTGTTCATAGCGCGTTCGAAAACCTTTGATAGTGATGTTAGAATGGATATGGGACGGTAATTGTTTACGCAGTCTTTCTTGCCGGATTTGTGGATAGGGTGAAGAATTGATTTTTTTAGTGCTGAGGGAAAAACTCCAGAATTGAAGCATCGGTTTATTAGATCTGTCAATGGGGGAACAATAATTTTCGTATTGTTTCTCAAAACTTTTGCTGGGATGCAGTCATTCCCGGGAGCACAGTCTGCTTTCAGATTCAGTAATATGGATTCAATTTCTTTTTCGGTCACATCTAATAGAACAAAGGAGTTGATGTTAGTTGGTGCTGAGTTACTTAACGAATTTTGGTGTGTAAAAGATGGGATACTATCAGCTAGAGTCTTGCCCACATTTGCGAAAAAATTATTAACGCTATTTATTGAATCGCGGGTATTGTTTTTAATATTTAGTAGATCATGTGCACTATTTTTTTGTTGATTTAGGCTTGTAACGGTTTTAATAGTTTTCCATAGTTTTTTACTATTATTTTTAGCTTTTTCTAGCTCTTCTTTATCATATTGTCTTTTAATTTTTCGAAGTAAATTATTGCAAAAATTTCTATATCTTATGTATGTTTTTTTAAGTATGTCATTGTTGGGTTCTATTTTTAACTTTTTGTGCATTTTATCCCTAGATCTTATGCAGCGTAATAGGCCAGAGGTTATCCACGGCTTGATTTTTAATTGACTACGAGAACATTTATAAATAATTGTGTTTTGCCGGACTATTTCAGAGATGGTGTTTACAAACAAATTCGTGGCTTTATTCAAATCATTTTCAGCATAAACCGAGTCAAAATTAATATTAGAAATGGCCTGGTTTATTTCGTTATGATTATGTTGGTTCTTCTGCTAGCCTGGGATGCGCGCCCTTTTGTCGATTTTTGACGATAAGCCCAAATATTTGTCGTCTACAATCGACAGATTATATCGTGCGCGCCACGCCATCCTAGACCGGTTGGTCCCTATATTATGAGAGATTCCTACGCGTGCCATAGAGTCCGCACAACTCGCGGAACCACATCACTATTCGATTTAGAATGATTTTGAGAGAGAACATTAATCGCACGCTTCGTGTTGATGAGGACTCAACCTAAGGGACTAGTTGAACAGGCGCGCAGAACATTGTGTTTCGGGCGCAATAATTTGTTTCAGATTTTTTGCAACTGCTCAAGAAACCCATTGTTCTGTTATGAAATGTGCCTTAAGCAATGAGGGTTTTCGCGTATGAAAAATCCGCCAGATGGCAATACTAATGGTCACGCGAGGTCCAAATGCTGCATGATTGGTTATTTTTGACATGACTGACAGATATGTCAAAATCCACCAATCACGCAGCAGTCAGACCCCACATCCACGTCCCGCCATCTAGCGGATCTTTCATACGCGAAAACCCTCATTACATTACGTGCTATGTTGCACCACTAACATAGCTCGATGTGATCAGTGTACGAGGTTATTTCCTTCCAGATGCGGTCGGTGGGCCGCGGCGAGGTGCTGGTGTCGCTGTGCTGGCAGCCGGCCGCCGCGCGCCTCACCGTGGTACTGCTCAAGGCGCGCAACCTGCCCAAGATGGACGTCACCGGACTCGCTGACCCGTTAGTATTATAAAAGAACAAAATAACACGTCTTGGCGCTTTTCATTGCAAAAATAAAATCAATATAAAAACAATCATAGATATAATATAGCTATTGTTCTCATAATCATAGATGTTGTATATGTTCTTCTGATTAATTTCGTTGCGGGTCCAATGACAGTTTAACTTTCCCCCGGGACAAACTTGACCTTCATTGGTTGGGTTTTTGTGACGGTCAAGCTGTAGATCCTGGCTTCACAGGAGTTGCATTGGTGGGAACGAGAGGTGGAAATAGTCCCATATAGTTATAATATAGCGCATAACTGAATCGTTTTCTGCAGTTTAGAGCGGTGCTGGAGGAGGTTTTTGTTACCCATTAACATGGGTAACGCAAGACACGTCACCTCTCCTGCACCGCTCTTCTATCGCAGAAACTCCGTCAGAACTACTCAGACAGAAATCTGTGCGCTATGATTAATTGCAATGAGACTAAGGCTGAGTTGCACCACCTAACTTTGACCGTAACTATGACGATAACCGGTGTTTTTTGTATAGAGTTTAACAGATTTTTGACGTTTGTCAAAGTTAAAGTAAGATGGTGCAACCCAGCCTTAGCCAAGTTTTTTTTAATAACACCGTTTTTAGGTAGACAGCTATATGGGACATGTATTTTGAAAATACATGTAGGTTCGCTGAAATAACCATAAAATCAACGTAAAACATGAAATACATGTATGCTGATTTTAAGGTAATTTTTTGGCTTTGAAAAGTTTGCTTGGATAGTAAATCGACATTACCAAAACAACACTCGATCTTCCTCTCCAGATACGTGAAAATGTACCTGCTATACAACGGCCAACGCATAGCCAAGAAGAAGACCCACGTCAAGAAGCGCACGCTGAACCCCGTGTTCAACGAGTCCTTCGTGTTCGAGGTGCCCGCCGCGCCAAACGCCACGCTCGACCACGTCTCGCTCGAACTGCTCGTGCTAGACTGGGACAGAGTCACTAAGAACGAGGTAAACAGCAAACTATCTCTATCATATAGCAAGAAGGTTCAAAGTTGTAGAAGCGGACCTGAACCCGGTGTTCAACGAGTCGTTAGAGTTCGAGGTGCCCGCCGCGCCCAACGCCACGCTCAACCACGTCTCGCTCGAACTGCTCGTGCTAGACTGGGACAGAGTCACCAAGAACGAGGTAAATAGCAAACCTTATTACAAAGCACAAAAGGTTCAAAGTTGTAGAAGCGGACGCTGAACCCGGTCTTCAACGAGTCCTTCGTGTTCGAGGTGCCCGCCACGTTCGACAACGTCTCGCTCGATATGCTCGTGCTAGACTGGGACAGAGTCACTAAGAACGAGGTAAATAGCAAACCTTATAACCTAACAATAAGGTTCAAAGTTAAAGAAGTGAATGCTGAACAAGGCGTTCAACGAGTCCTTCGTGTTCGAGGTGCCCGCCACGCTCGACCACGTCTCGCTCGAACTGCTCGTGCTAGACTGGGACAGAGTCACTAAGAACGAGGTAAAGAGCAAACCTTATTACATAGCTCAAAAGGTTTAAAGTTGTAGAAGCGGACGCTGAACCCGGTCTTCAACGAGTCCTTTGTGTTCGAGGTGCCCGCCACGCTCGACCACGTCTCGCTCGAACTGCTCGTGCTAGACTGGGACAGAGTCACTAAGAACGAGGTAAAGAGCAAACCTTATTACATAGCTCAAAAGGTTCAAAGTTGAAGAAGCGGACGCAGAACCTGGTGTTCAACGACTCCTTTGTGTTCGAGGTGCCCACCACGCTCGACCACGTCTCGCTCGAACTGCTCGTGCTAGACTGGGACAGAGTCACTAAGAACGAGGTAAATAGAAAACCATCTCTATCACACAGCAATAAGGTTCAATGTTGAAGAAGAGGACGCTGACGCCCGTGTTCTACGAGTCGTTCGTGTTCGAGGTGCCCGCCGCGCCCAACGCCACGCTCGACCACGTCTCGCTCGAACTGCTCGTGCTAGACTGGGACAGAGTCACCAAGAACGAAGTACATAGCAAACCTTATTGCATAGCACAAAAGGTTCAAAGTTGTAGAAGCGCACGCTAAACCCGGTGTACAACGAGTCCTTCGTCAGAGCCTTCGTGTTCGAGGTGCCCGCCACGCCCAACGCCACGCCCAACGCCACGCTCGACCACGTCTCGCGTTAGATTGGGACAGAGTCACCAAGAACGAGGTAAATAGCAAACCTTATTACATAGCTCAAAATGTTCAAAGTTGTAGAAGCGGACCTGAACCCGGTGTTCAAAGAGTCTTACGTGTTCGATGTGCCCGCCGCGCCCAACGCCACTCTCGACCACGTCTCGCTCGAACTGCTCGTGCTAGACTGGGACAGAGTCACCAAGAACGAGGTAAAGAGCAAACCTTATTACATAGCACAAAAGGTTCAAAGTTGTAGAAGCGCACGCTGAACCCGGTCTTCAACGAGTCCTTCGTGTTCGAGGTGCCCGCCACGCTCGACCACGTCTCGCTCGAACTGCTCGTGTTAGATTGGGACAGAGTCACCAAGAACGAGGTAAATAGAAAACCTTATTACAAAGCACAAAAGGTTCAAAGTTGTAGAAGCGGACGCTGAACCCGGTCTTCAACGAGTCCTTCGTGTTCGAGGTGCCCGCCACGCTCGACCACGTCTCGCTCGAACTGCTCGTGCTAGACTGGGACAGAGTCACTAAGAACGAGGTAAATAGAAAACCTTATCACCTAACTATAAGGTTCAATGTTAAATAAGTGGATGCTGACCAAGGTGTTCAACGAGTCGTTGGTGTTCGAGGTGCCCGCCTCGCTCGATCACGTCTCGTTCGAACTGCTCGTGCTAGACTGGGACAGAGTCACCAAGAACGAGGTAAATAGCAAACCATCTCTATCACAGAGCAATAAGGTTCAAAGTTGTAGAAGCGCACGCTAAACCCGGTGTACAACGAGTCCTTCGTCAGAGCCTTCGTGTTCGAGGTGCCCGCCACGCTCGACCACGTCTCACTCGAACTGCTTGTGCTAGACTGGGACAGAGTCACCAAGAACGAGGTAAATAACAAACCTTATTACATAGCACAAAAGGTTCAAAGTTGTAGAAGCGGACGCTGAACCCGGTGTTCAACGAGTCGTTCGTGTTCGAGGTGCCCGCCACGCTCGACCACGTCTCGCTCGAACTGCTCGTGCTAGACTGGGACAGAGTCACTAAGAACGAGGTAAATAGAAAACCATCTCTATCACACAGCAATAAGGTTCAATGTTGAAGAAGAGGACGCTGACGCCCGTGTTCTACGAGTCGTTCGTGTTCGAGGTGCCCGCCGCGCCCAACGCCACTCTCGACCACGTCTCGCTCGAACTGCTCGTGCTAGACTGGGACAGAGTCACTAAGAACGAGGTAAATAGAAAACCTTATCACCTAACAATAAGGTTCAAAGTTAAAGAAGTGAATGCTGAACAAGGCGTTCAACGAGTCCTTCGTGTTCGAGGTGCCCGCCACGCTCGACCACGTCTCACTCGAACTGCTTGTGCTAGACTGAGACAGAGTCACCAAGAACGAGGTAAATAACAAACCTTATTACATAGCACAAAAGGTTCAAAGTTGTAGAAGCGGACGCTGAACCCGGTCTTCAACGAGTCCTTCTTGTTCGAGGTGCCCGCCACGCTTGACCACGTCTCGCTCGAACTGCTCGTGCTAGACTGGGACAGAGTCACCAAGAACGAGGTAAATAGAAAACCATCTCTATTACAGAGCAATAAGATTCAAAGTAGTAGTGGACGCTGAACCCGGTCTTCAACGAGTCCTTCGTGTTCGAGGTGCCCGCCACGCTCGACCACGTTTCGCTCGCACTGCTCGTGCTAGACTGGGACAGAGTCACCAAGAACGAGGTAAAGAGCAAACCATCTCTATCACAGAGCAATAAGGTTCAAAGTTGTAGAAGCGCACGCTAAACCCGGTGTACAACGAGTCCTTCGTCAGAGCCTTCGTGTTCGAGGTGCCCGCCACGCTCGACCACGTCTCGCTCGAACTGCTCGTGCTAGACTGGGACAGAGTCACCAAGAACGAGGTAAATAGCAGACCATCTCTGTCACAGAGCAATAAGGTTCAAAGTTGTAGAAGTGGGCGCTGACACCCGTGTTCAACGAGTCCTTCGTGTTTGAGGTGCCCGCCGCGCCCAACGCCACGCTCGATCACGTCTCGTTCGAACTGCTCGTGCTAGACTGGGACAGAGTCACTAAGAACGAGGTAAATAGCAAACCATCTCTGTCACAGAGCTATAAGGTTCAAAGTTGTAGAAGCGGACGCTGAACCCGGTGTTCAACGAGTCCTTCGTGTTCGAGGTGCCCGCCTCGCTCGATCACGTCTCGTTCGAACTGCTCGTGCTAGACTGGGACAGAGTCACCAAGAACGAGGTAAATAGCAGACCATCTCTGTCACAGAGCAATAAGGTTCAAAGTTGTAGAAGCGGACGCAGAACCTGGTGTTCAACGAGTCCTTCGTGTTCGAAGTGCCCGCCACGCTCGACCACGTCTCGCTCGAACTGCTCGTGCTAGACTGGGACAGAGTCACTAAGAACGAGGTAAATACCAAACCTTATTACATAGTACAAAAGGTTCAAAGTTAAAGAAGTGGATGCTGAACAAGATGTTCAACGAGTCGTCGTTCGTGTTCGAGGGGCCCGCCGCGCCCAACGCCACGCTCGACCACGTCTCGCTCGAACTGCTCGTGCTAGACTGGGACAGAGTCACCAAGAACGAGGTAAATAGCAAACCTTATTACATAGCACAAAAGGTTCAAAGTTGTTGAAGCGGACGCTGAACCCGGTCTTCAACGAGTCCTTCGTGTTCGAGGTGCCCGCCACGCTCGACCACGTCTCGCTCGAACTGCTCGTGCTAGACTGGGACAGAGTCACTAAGAACGAGGTAAATAGCAAACCTTATTACAAAGCACAAAAGGTTCAAAGTTGTTGAAGCGGACGCTGAACCCGGTGTTCAACGAGTCGTTAGAGTTCGAGGTGCCCGCCACGCTCGACCACGTCTCGCTCGAACTGCTCGTGCTAGACTGGGACAGAGTCACCAAGAACGAGGTAAATAGCAAACCTTATTACATAGCTCAAAAGGTTCAAAGTTGTAGAAGCGCACGCTAAACCCGGTGTACAACGAGTCCTTCGTCAGAGCCTTCGTGTTCGAGGTGCCCGCCGCGCCCAACGCCACGCTCAACCACGTCTCGCTCGAACTGCTCGTGCTAAACTGGGAGAGAGTCATCGAGAACGAGGTACTTAATAAACCTTATTGCAGTACATAATGCACCATTGTCATTTATGCAGTTGGCGTCAGTGCCTAGCTAAGCCAGCAGCAGTAGCACTTTCGAAGTCTAAGTTAATAATAAGAAATGTAAATGTGGGACAACATTCTTCATGACGAGGTCAAGTGAATCGCAAAATTGCACACAGCATTTACAGGACAATATAGAGCCACTTTAGCTGTCTTCACTCCACTTATTTCCCAACATCATTGATCTTTCATACAGTTGATTAAAAACTTTTTGAGTTTCCTTTGTTATTCTGAGAAAGTTGTGTATTAGTGAATATTGGTCTTCAACTCTTTAACCCGTTTGGTCAGCGAGAGGGTAGGTAAATCCGCCGTTTGCCTCTGGTACTGTAGTCTCCACTGAGACCTTATGGTGATAATGATGCTAACCGATTGTTTTCCCAAACGATTGAATCCCCAGGGATTCAATCCAGATTTTACTCCAGAGTAATTTAGTGACTTAGTGCTAATGATACCAAATTGTTCAGGTGATCGGTCGGCTGGAGCTCGGCGCCGAGGGCACCGGCAGCGCCCGGCACCACTGGCGCGAGGTGCAGGCGGCGCCGCGCCGCCAGATCGCCGACTGGCACAAGCTCAAGGAGTGAGCGCCACGCCCAACCCCCACCAACCACTCGCCAGAAACCCACTGCGGACTGCTGGGACAGAGATAAGTCCACTCTCCCTTTCTTAATCCTTCAAGGCCCGCTAATCTAGACACAATAGATCAGTTTTTTCAACCTTTTTCATGACACGAACCCCCATATAAAAAAAATTTTTTGGCAACCCCCCGACCGTTCGCTTTTTTTTTCATGCATTTTAAAATGTTGCAAAGATGTTTGTAGAACCGAATACTTCAATCCATATAACATTTTTGCATAATTAGATTTCAGATTAATCTGTCTTTATAAGAATTTTTTTTACTGAGGTACTTTTTACGACTTCTCGCGACCCCCCAGGGGGTCGCGACCCACAGGTTGAAAAACACTGCAATAGATAATCAATTGTTATGACATTAATGAATGCCGTCTGGGACTCAAGCGGTTAAGGTGGCCTTTCGAACTAAGCGTCACAGACGCAGCGCGTCTTTAGCTTTGGTCTTGTGCCACCAACGCCGCGTCACTTACTCTCTTCAAAAGGCTACCTTTAAGACCAAAGCTAAAGACGCTGCGTCTGTGACGCTTAGTTCGAAAGGCTACCTTTAATATCTCTACCTTCTTCGTTCACAAACTGAAAAGTACTTTCTCAAATCTGGAAAGATTTTAGTACAGTCAACAGCACATCAGACTACAATTTTGTAGCCAAAAAGCACCTATTTCAACTACTTATGATGCCCAAGATTGATGTGCTGGTTGATTATACTTATAGTAGATTGTGACAGAATAATAATTACTATTGAACATAATTACATTTTCAAGTTTTCTTTGTTAGACGACTGAAACTTACGGTGCCATGTAATCGTGCATCGGTCAGGAATAAAATGAATTTGTCATACGTAAATTGGCGCCCAACGTGGTGCACAAAATGAATAAAAAAAACTAACCTTTCTTTAAATTATTTTATTTATGTTATGGACAAACCTCTGTTCTAGTATTCGCCGCAGTGTCGAAAGACTTTAGCCCACCTCCCACTATTAGCCTATAGCTTTCCTATTCCTAGGATAAACATTGTAGAGTCGGTGTTTAGCACAGTCATTTACTAATTTATGTTTTCAAAGACCTTGACGAATAAGTAGTCATGACAAATAACAATCCTTTGTTATTAGTCACAAAAATATTCATTTGTGACAAAAAATACTTAATTCTTCACCATTAAAGTACTGCGCTACTAAATGACTGTGCTAAACTACCTGACTCTGACCATCCCCATACGAAACGCATAGCGAACAAGAAATATTAACTTCTTATTGCAACGAGATGATTTGACGATTGGAAATGATTTAATTATCGTTAATATTCTTCACTTATTATCCCCGCACGGAGTCCTGCGGCGAGGGTGGTTATCGTAAGAAGGCCAAGCCAAAGTCCACACAGGAACGAATGCTTAATTTAGCGTTAATTTGTATTATAATGTTACGATATTTTCTATTAGATAGTGAAATTATCGCTTTATTTTGGACTTCATTTTATTAGTAATACGAATGTATAATTTGCTTGTAATATGTTTAACGCACAGTTTGATAAATCCCGAGTGTAGATTCCCCGATGTAATCATAGTTTGTGTCTAAGTAGTGAACACAGGTGATCGTGTGTTTGCTGTAGATGAGCGGTGTACAAGCTGCCTAATTCGGCTTGTATTCCAATTTCTCTAATTATTCTACATATCTAAATGTAAGACACTTGATGTAATGGATACGATTTCATGTATTTAATGTGTCCCGGTGTGGTTTAGAGCTATGTAATTGTTTGCTTCGACAATATTAAGTCTACACGTTACTAGATCTCAGATTGAACCAAAGCATTATACTCAAGTAGTTTGATAAGACATACTATTTAGCACGGAAATTGGTGAATAACACTACAAATGATAATACTAATTGTTTCATAGATGTAACTATAACGCTAAGGATAAATTATACAATTAATTTTGGTCAGACGAACCGTTTATTTGTATAATTTTAAATTAGATTTTAATTTTTAATATTTGTCATTTTATTTATCAATGCAGATTTTTCGGATCGATACGTATGTATTTATTTATCATCTGATTAAATTCAATATTGTTCGTGCTTACATGGTTTGTGTGGGCAGAATAATAAAGTAGAGTCGTTTTAAGGCATAATAAGCACAAACAAAATTGAACTCATTTCAATACTCATTTTGATCAGTAAGTTCATAAATATGTATAGTATTAGGTTAGAGAAATAAATCTATTTTATACTAAATGTAGGTAGTGTGACCTAGAATCTAAATGTAAAAGCTCATTTGACGAGGCTTTGGGCTTTTAGCCGTACCTTCTAGTGCGAACTTATCACTATAGATGGCGCTTTCACTATCAGATCTCATTCCTTTCTGATAATTAAGTTACATGCTTTAATTAAATATTTATTCTGATGGTTTCTGAACATTCCTTTAAACTTTATTTACCTATCCATTCTGTTAGTCCTAATTATTTTGATTTGTGAATTTAATTCTTAAAAATAACTATGAAATCGATATAAAAACGAAAATTTAAAATGAGGAATAATAACTGTACAACAGTATATTTAGAACGTTACGATTGATCTAAGGTAATTATTATCTTTAGTCTTGTATTACGTAACCGAATATTTTAAGAGTTACTTGTATTCTTAAGAATCCGTACTTCTACATTCCAAAAAACTAAATGTAAATAGTCATCGCTTTAGTCATTGAAGACATTCGCTGTCTCGTTCTTATTGTTAACTATAAGTGAATAATGTAATAATAAGTAACATACCAGTAAATGTTTACGTTTAATCGAATCAGTGTTTTTGTATTTTCAATCGATGTCCATGAGTGTTGTAGAAATTATTTGCAGAAAATTGTAGTGGCTCAGCGGGCGTTACTCCATCTTTAGCTACCGAAAAGTACAAAGTAATTTAGTTAGAAATACTTCAATACAACATCATCTTAGTTCAGTAGTTCATGATCATACTATAATCCGGGCCTTTTCAAGGCGAGAGTAAATAGGCACTTACAGGGCAGATATGTACCATCCTAGACTACATCCCACTTAACATCGGATGCGATTGTGGTCAAATACCTGCCTTGTTGTGCATAAAAAAAAACATTCTTGAAGTTTTCAGGCTCTTTAGGTCGGACTGAAAGGTAACTTCTGGCAGGCCTGGCTCACTCCGCGCGGTACATCCGATAATTACCTACAGCGAAGCGCCCCGCCGGCGGGTATTATATCAGTCGAGTGTCAACGCGCGCGCCCGTCGGGGCTTGATGTTTTGCCTTTAATAAATAATTTCTTTTGAATACAATTTATGATGTTTTAAGAATTTTATCGTTAAAATATTAACTATTACCTTTCCGTGTAGGTAAATGAAACGGATGAGTAACATCGATACACCAAATTACGACAAGCTAGTTCTTTTACCATAATGCATAGGTACCCCAACAATATTCAGTAAAAAATAAATTGTTGCCAAAGTACCGCGAGTAACATTAGATAAAGTTTGTGCAAAGCCAAATACAAATATGATTTTCGGGTGTAGCCGTTTCGTGTTTGCGTAGTAAGTAGGTAGGTATGATGACGTCATTCTATCTTCTGTGATAGTAGGTATGTTTAATTTATTTGTCTTATGTTAAAATAGGTATGAATGAAGACATTTTATTAAAATAAGTACTTTTTATCCTAAGTAGGTAAATATTTAAAATGATATTTTTACAAAGGTAAAATAACACTAATACTTACCTACATACGTACCTCATTACAAATACCTAAGTAGATTAATTCTATTTTTTCACTAGACAGCATAGCAACCCTAGCAGCGTAAGAAGAGTTCAGAGGCACGCGATAGAAAGAGACAAAACTTGTAGGTGAATAAAATTGTAGGTACGTAGTGCTGTGCGAGCTGAATTCCACTGTATCGCGTCGTAGCAAGACACGCATTTATTTAAATCGTCTTGCGGAGTAATCCTTCTGTACCTGTACTATTACTTATTCTGTGCTTCTGGTTAATCTTTCCTTTGGTAGAGCTAAGCGGTGGTTGAATATACCTACGCTTTTTATAAAACATGTCAGTAGGTCCAGTTTGAAATTCACATTAATACTTTGTCATTTAGGAGCATTTAACGAATCTTTTACTGATGTTTAGATGGGATTTCATCGAGCTATGTTGAGAGTATCGTTTAAAGTAGCAAAGCATTTATGGTAAAAATAAATAAGACAACTTTTGGCAACGCTTCGTGCGAAGTGCTCTATGATCAAAAACTTGGATGGCGTGTGATTTTTTTTTCAGTTTGCAGGCTATTCCTTCCTATTTTATACTGATGCTACCCATACGTACGTTTTCATTACAATAACTATTAATCTTTACTGTGTGATGATTTTTCTTCAAATAGCAATAATAATATAATCAAAGCAGGATTTTAACATACCAGCTCACTGTTCACTGATACATTTACTATACATTAGGTCTATTGAAATTTTGCTACAGCTATTAGATGTTCGCCTCATGGGTGATCAATAGTGATCAGTTGAAGTAGCGCTCGCTGCCACATCACCGCACGTAGTCATCACCTCACCGATATCAGGTTTATATACTAAGAAGAGATTTTAGTAAATAAATTATTGACTGGTGCTTTCACATAATTGTGCGTTTTATTTATTTACCTTATCCATTTCAGGTGTTATCAAATATCTGGATATTTTTTAATAACTAATATTAAAAATTAGTGTAAATACTGAAATGAATTTAACACTAAAGATCTCCGTTTACTTAGTGTTGGTTTGTTTACTATATGGTTTCCAATTGATATTTTAATAATAATAATAATGACTAGCTTTTTACCGCGGCTTCACCTGCATGAAATTTAGTTTGTCACATATCGTCATAAATTATAGCTTAAATGTTATTCTGGGCTATAAACAATAACACTGCACTGTAAAGATTCAACGAAATCCGTTCAGTAGTTTTTGCGTGAAAGAGTATCAGTACAGTTTCAGAATAGGAACACTTGATTTACTTGAGTTTAAAAAAAGTACCATCTATTTACGTGCCCTGTTACCAACCGATTTTGCATACTCAGATTGCTACTCTAAAGTTCTACCTACAGGAATCAAATCAAAAGAAAAGGGACACATTTAATAAAATACAGAATTCTTATCAATTGTATATTTGATATCAAATCTTATTACAATTATACCACAGCTTAACATCGAAAGTAAAGGTGGTCGGACACGGCCTCCCCACGTCATGGCGTGCTCCGGTGCTACAGACAAAAATACCTTTTGCTTTTCGCTGGTCCAAGAATTTAATCGAAATATCAAGAGGTAAAAGTGTTTTTACAACCCTTAAAATCACTCAGAGTATGTTCTGTGGACTTTGATTTCCAATTTACACATTTTAATCTACACAAGTCTGTGTTACTGTCTCTACGGACTTTGTTTTTCATTTTTTCCACTCTTTTAACCGACTAGTCAGACGCTTTTGGTGGCTCTTGAAGTCTGAACCTAGTGATGTGCCCTAAGTTATTATAATTCACACGATAAAATAGTTTCCGAGTCGACAAAGTGTCTATTATAATAAAGAATTACAATAGTGACTACAAGATATGACTATAATAGTTTAAAAGAGTCAACATAGTTTAAGAGAACTCAATACGTAAGTAGATAGGTATTTCTTGTAATAAAACCTTTCATAGACCAGCGAAATGCAAACGAGAACCCAATCCAAAGCCTGTACATACATTGCTACTAATTATTGTGCTATCGACAAAGTAAACGAATCAAAAAATGCGTTGTGTGACTTAAAAAGTGATCTTCATTTTAGAGGAACAACTATAACACACACAGACTAACCCACTCGTTTTAAGATGTACAGAAGTATAATTATTTAATGAAGAAAACTTTAAAAAAGAAATTCGTCATCTCGTAGGAAATTAGTCATTTATAAAAAGTATTGTTTTATCAAACACACTAAATCCAAGTAACTAGCTTGCCGAAGTGCGATATTTACACTCTACATTTTTTTGTCGCAATTTGTTCACTTTCTTACCAAACCCTTGAATTGAATTGTAACTTCAAAAAAGTATAACTAAGTAACTACCCAAGTAGTAGACAAGTATTTTTGTCACATTTAGTGAGATTTCAGATGTGAGTTTAGTCGATATGTGCATTATAATATTCCCCGCACTAACCGAGAGAGAGTCGCCGAGAGTATAAACACACATAATATTGTCTTTTAATACAACTCCTATATGGACGTCTTTGATTTCGTCTAGCTATGAAGTCGGTGCTCGCTAGCTAGAAACACGTATTCACTTCGTGATAGGGAGGAACCAGAATTACTGCTGTTACTCTTAAAGTAGGTAGGTTAGGTATTGAATGTCAAAAAGATGGTAACGTAACTTACTAATTAATCAAGTTAAGAGAGCTTCCGTCCTTCAGTAGTTAGAAAATATACATATAAACTCTCCCAAGATAGAGATCCTAGGTATGACATCCTCTGACACGTTTTATAAGTTTAAGAAAAAAAATGATCCAGAAGGAAGAATGATTTGTTAATAAGGTAGAGTCGTCAACCAACAGACATTTAGTATATTAGCGTAATTTTTGGTTCCTCCTTCGGTGTCACACATAAAATTGATTAGCAATACAATGTTTTTAACAAGTTAACACCTAAACATTCAAACAAATTACATCACACTACACAGTGACGATTAGGCAAGAGTCGTATGCGGTAAATTTTGGGACTTACTTAAACTTAATTAAAACAATATCATCGTACGCTATGACTACAATATGTCGTTATTGCTAAATAGTGAGATATGAATTGAAGTTCAGATATGTTAGAACTGTTAGATATTACGATTTTGGTCCGAAATTGTGTAAACATTATTTTGTAGAGTCGCTTCAACTAACCAAAACTTCGTATAACAAAAAATAAATATATAAAAACTTAAAATACTAATTACTATTTCATTTTCGAAACCAACAGTATTTTAACCATACCGAATAACCTGAAACTTTATATTTTTGAACATTAATATTACATATAAACTCATACAAGATATTTAGAGCCTATCATAATTTAAGACATAAAAAATATTGTAAATCTGGTAACCGTTACAATAAGTGTTACATTAAAAAATTAGTCAATACAATCATATTTACAATTATTAAATGCAGTATCGAACTTGTTAATTGATACATAAATTAAAAAAGCATAATAATATAAAAGTCTAAAAATCCAGGCAAGCTTTATATACATCGACATAGTCAGATCTCAATGTTTAATTTGGTTGTGTATTCCTTTAGTCTTATAGTCATTTGCTTAATAAAATACTGGCATGTAAGGCAAGATTATAAAATAGGATATTTTGACTACAGTTAAAACGTCCTCAATAAAAAGGTGAGATAATCTTGAGTAGGTAGAGTCATACAATTAAATCATACACGTTCCTACAAACACGACTTAGCTAAACAATGATCCTATTGAACTCGTACGACACCAAATTATTAAACAAATATCATTTTCTAGTTATCCATTCATCAACACACATAAATTCATTTAGACTCCTGAAGATACTATCTCTTCGATTATAAAAAATCTGCAGTACATTTCCCATCATTATACAAAATTAGTACATCGATTATTTCCCTCTAAACCCGATACCCGATCAGTATAAAGACATACGTCATTTATGTTTAGCAATCCATTCTCAACATGAAAATTGTTTAAAATCTTTTCGACGAATTCCTCTGACAGAAATACCACATTTAATAACGAAGTCGTTTTCTGAATATGGCGTAGTAGTACCATAAAAAATAACCATTAAAGATAAGTGCGCCTACTCAAATCATGGCAGAAGCAAAATTAACGCACAAGCAAGAATTAATTTACTAATTGAGATCCTACCGTGGTGTTGACATTCATAACATCATTGGAGTTACAGATTTAATTTGTAAATAGTGTTATGCAAATATTGACTTTGTGCGCTAGATGATATTATACAGAATAGTTTGTAAGTTTCACTGTAAAGTCAGAAACGATCACAATACGAGACCATCACTAATTCGAATAAAAACACGGCCCTAAAACCCTTCCTTGTATACTCCAATCATGTCATCAACAAGTACGTCTGCACGTTGCGACGTGAAAGCATTCCTCGTGACAATAGAAAAATCTTTATTCCTAATAATATCTTTGAATACTTAAGAATAGAAAATCCAATCTCCATTTGTGGAGATAACGATATTGTTGTATGTGATCCCATAGTCGTTCGCTAGAGATACCGTTCATACTCAGTTATCTCCCGTGGATTGCGACGTGAGTCTGCTTGGGATGGTACGCACAGCTTTGGTAGTGGTAGGACGGCACAGGGGGGCGGGCCCCGGGGGATTAAAGCAGGCCCCGGTCCAGTTCTTTGCGCAGCATCCTGGAGAGTTTGAGCACATCCTCGTCGCACTGGCCTGCGAACAGAGAGTCCAGGAGCTCACCTCGGGACGCGAGGGAGAACACTCCGGCAAGTCGCGACACGGATTTGTCTGAAAGGTGGCGCTCTACAACTGATCTGGAATAAAAAACGGTGAATTTAGTTCATGTTTCACTAAAGAAACACTAGATTAATACATTTGTTGTTCATTAATGATATGTAAATAAATAATATCTTACTTGAGCGACTGATGTGACTCGCGAAGAGCATCTTGTAGGAAACCTCGGTCGTAAGAGAAATCGACCTCGCAGAATGATACCACAGCCATCAACACCGTCTGGAAACACGATAAGATTTTGTAAGTTCGGGCTAAAATTTTACAACCATATTCGAAACGAAATCCTATGCAGAACCCTGGATGAAACATGCCCTGAGATGGTGGATGCGTGATGAGGATAGTTCCATTCCCAACAATGAAAACAACAATATATTACACATACCCTGTGCTATGGGTTGGGAAACTTCCACTCTCAACAGTGGTATATCCTACTCATGACACGTAACTTGAAGCATAAGGCAGCACGCCCAGCTTCAGCTATTGATTGTGAAGTAGACCTTATGACGTGGACATAAGACACTAACGTGGAACTTGGAGCGGAAGGCAGCGAGCGCGCGCTCGTCGGCCGGCGACAGCTGCCCGTGGCGCCGCAGCACGCCCAGCTTCACGCGGCCTTGATCACGTGCTTCACCAGCTTGTCACAGTGAAGTAGACCTTATGACGTTGACATAAGACACTCACGTGGAACTTGGAGCGGAAGGCAGCGAGCGCGCGCTCGTCGGCCGGCGACAGCTGCCCGTGGCGCCGCAGCACGCCCAGCTTCACGGCGGCCTTGATCACGTGTTTCACCAGCTTCTCTGCTTCGCGCTTCTCTACTCGCTCGCGAAGGACCGTCAGGAACTGGAAATGATGAAATGTCACTTAATCAACCGCGCGCTGGTATAAGGTAATGTTAAGACATTAACGACTGCTCTTTGATTAATAAGTTAAAATATTAAGAAAATACAGACTTTAAACAACTCGAATCTACGGGTAGTCAATCAATTGTGGCTCTACATCATAAAGTTAATATACCTAGCGGAATATCCGAACCTCATAACCTAGAGAGACAGATGTTAGTAAGATGGTATGACGAAGGAAGATGTTCCCTTATCATACGAACAAAACAGATTTTAATTTGATTTTGATTTTATGCTTTGAAAAATCCAAAGTATTATACATTATAAATTACTAATATGTTCAGAATATTATTAATTTTAAAGATGTATTTGTGTAGGCGTGCGTAAATGGTATGATTAACGTTTTAAAGTTAGTCACTGAGTGCATTGTCGATTAGCCCACAATCAGAACGTGGTGGGACGTGATATCATAATTCTTGATCACGATTTTACCTACATACCTATTCACTAGACTAGTTCGCTGGACTGATTGCGCCATTTTTCCTTTTGGATACACATTCAGGCTATAGCAATTACGATTGTTGAGTTGAAAAATTTATTAGCAATATAAAATATACGATTTCAGTAAGAACGTTAATTTGAAATACGAGTATCATCCGACTAATAGAAATGGCGGGCACATAAATAAATGTTCTTCTTCGTGGTGGTGATCAAGGTTGATAAGAATCTTCTAATTTCTGTGTCCTATTAAAACTCTGTTTTAGCAGGTTATTGATCAGTCCCCCTAAACAAGTGATAAAACATGACAGTTGTCGTGGGGAGGTGGCGCAGTGGTCATCATATAGATGACCCACGCTGAACTGTCCCACCAAACTCAATGACAGGGGGGCGCTACCATCGTTCAACTATATGGTTTCCAACATGGCAAAAATCGGAACCAGCGATAGCCAGCGATCCGGTATTGACGGTGGCGCCCCACTGTCAATGTCATGCATAGGACAGTTCAGTATTTTGGAACTATACTTTTCTGGTATAGGGTCGCCCGTATACCTTTCTCTGAAAATCTGAAGTAGGTACTATTGTGGGCAGCATGATTTAATGTAGTATCAAATTCAAAACTAAATCAGTGGGTATTGATATTACGTTCGACGACTGCTGTCCAGCTAGTCTAGTCTAGTAAGAAACAATGCGTGAGAGAGTCTATTCAATGTTTTAAGCTTATGGCGGATTTATACTACGCGGAAATTAGCCGAGTCAAGTCAAAAAAACAGTGGAGTGGGGATGAAAATCATTCATATTTGACTTGGCTAATTTCCGCGCAGTGTAAATGTGCCTTAAGACTACAGTTTTTAGTACATACTTGGTCAAGTAACTTGGCAGCGTGTTCGTCGAGCACAAGAGCGCGGGCGCTGCTAGTGCCACCGACCCGCGACAGGAACTTCTTCTGCGCGCGCAGCGAGATGTCACGCGCGCACCACGCGCCGCCCTCCATCGCTGCAACAACACAACTACCGTCAAAATATGAAACACAACTACCCTCAAAAGTATATGCAGTCTAGAAGGTACGGAGAAAGTATTACTTCTCTATAACGTACGATTTTCTGTAGAGTGACTTATGATGTTATTTTCTCTCACATCTGCCATTTTTAACCAGTCTTTTGTTCCAGGTTACAGGATATATTGAGACAGAAACACGTGTATAAGAGCTTGCCAGAATAAAATGTAATAGATTGAAACAATTACAATCCGCACTTAAAACAACTAATGTAATAATGTGCAAGCAGTGTAGTAAGCATCAGATCAGAAATTTTCGAATTCGATAATTAACCATCCATTACTCATTAATACATGCGCATTAATGTCTCTGCGTGACGAATAAATTGACATTCCGATTGGTTTAACTAAAATATTTACTAGAACAATACCTCTCAATTATCGTCTCGTCCCAATTAAGTCTAGTTGCATTTTATTGGTAGATTATTCAAAACTAATTTTAACAAGGAAACACGATGCGCATTTGTTATATCGAACACTTCCTTACCCAAACAACAAACAAGTTATTTAAGGATTTTCAACCGACTTCAAAAAAGGAGGAGGTTCTCAATTCGACCCGTATGTTTTTTTTTTCTATGTTTGTTACGCGATAACTCCGCCACCGATTTGAACAAATCTTTTTTCGGCGTATAGGTAATACCTCAAGGGTGGTCCCATTTAAATTTAATAATAGAAAAAACAACCCCCAAGGGTGGAAAATTGGGGATGAACTTTTTTATACGCAATATCTCCGCCGATTATAAATCAATTTGAACGATTATTTTTTTGTTGAATAGGTATTATCAAAAGGGTGGTTTCATGCGAATTTGAAGAAAATATTTTACCCCCAAGGGTGGAAAATTGGGGATGAACTTTTTTATACGCAATATTTTTAATTTTTAGTTTTTTTTTGTGTTCACGCATTTGAAGTCGGTTTTATTTTTTTTAAAAGTTAATTATGTGCGGCAAAGTTTGGTTAGTGCACGCGGAAGTTATTCTTTCAGCGTATACTTTTGCCACAGATATTATAATATACTTTTGCGGGGATATGAGACTTGGAACTCTCACGCGAGCGCCATTCCGGGCTGTTACTGGAGCATCCCGTTCCGAATGATTACTTGCGAGTGTTACATTATCGAATGGATTCGCGTTCTCTCAACACGATGCTGTAAATAAACACTGCGAAATATTTTTGCTCCAATCTTAACTGCATATTCGGTGATGATCGGTTAAAACTTCAATAAAATTGTAAATGCTAGAAGGCTAGACTAATTAATAATACCACTTCAGATCAGTAATCTTTCAATAGTGAAAATTAGATTTATTCGTTAACTGACAGAGACTGAGAAATTCCAGAAAATAAGATTGCCGCTCTATTTTATTGGTTCGAGCGATGTTAGTTAATTAATTTAGTTTATGAAACACACCAATAAATTAGCAACGTATCCACTTTAGACCGGCGCCAGCAGAAGAAATTGTTTTGATCCGCCACTCCAGCGCGATGTAGCACATGGCCGTATCAATTGGGCGGTGTTAGAGCCAGAGCACACGAGGCGTTGCAGAGCCGCACCTCTCGTGTGTGATATTTCTATGTAAGGGCTTGTTACCACGGAGACATCCTGTTTTTGCAGGAATACGTGTTTTAATATTAACGTTTACGCACGAACGAACGAATTCCGTTTGCAATGTCCCGCAAAAAACCGATCCGTTCGATTTTGTAATTCGAATTTCAACACACTGTGTGTGTTCAGAGGACAGTACAGTTTTGTCCTGAATATTACCGTGGGAACATTCCCTAAGACGACGCAGCGATACCGCTCCGGCGTCGCACCGGCGCCGCAACGCATCGTGTGCTTTGGCTCAGTGTTTACAATTGCCTGCGCATGAGCAAGACGAATTTGTATCATCCCGCCGCGGACAATGGACAATTGCACTTCAATTGTATCTCTAAAGTGGAACAATGAACTGCTAACTGCTTGTTTTCGTCACGATGTACTCGTCAACGGACCGCGGAATGTGCTTATATGGGTGGTTAAAATATGGGCAGATTATTATCTTTAATCATGTCTATAACCTATAAGACACAAGTATGTCTTACAGCCAATTTCACTTTATACTAGACTAGCGGCCGCCCGCGACTTCGTACGCGTGGATCCCGTTTTATCCCCTTAGGGGTGGAGTTTCGTAAAATCCTTTCTTATCGGATGCCTACGTCATAACATCTACCTGCATGCCAAATTTCAGCCCGATCCGTCCAGTGGTTTGGGCTGTGCGTTGATAGATCACTATATCAGTCAGCCAGTCAGTCACCTTTGAGTTGTATATTATTTAGAAGAATAAAATCTAATCGATTTAACCTTTGAGACGGTTTAATCAAGATATTTTCTCAACAAAATGATTCAGTTTCTAATTCGCCGTAGGGGTGAACTTATTAGTTTGACTTTACAATGGATCAAGCATATTATGTAACATTGTACACTCATATCCCAACTAATCCCAACTAATATTATAAATGCGAAAGTAACTCTGTCTGTCTGTCTGTCTGTCTGTTACGCTTTCCCGCTTAAACCTCGCAACCGATTTTGATGAAATTTGGCATAGAGATAGTTTGAGTCCCGGGAAAGAACATAGGATAGTTTTTATCCCGGTTTTTGAAACAGGGACGCGCGCGATAAAGTTTTTCTATGACAGACAAAATTCCACGCGGGCGAAGCCGCGGGCGGAAAGCTAGTTATGTAATATGTAGAGCACCTACCCCACATGCGATTTATCGCATCTCCGGCCTACGCCTGAGCTAACAAAGCTAATCTATTTACCCTTCATATTACCTACATCTGACCCAGACCCGGCAAATCTGACCCAGACCCGGCAAATATTGTTATAACACATTTTCTGACACCTTATGGGCCGTTCGCGAAAATTATGCGAAGTTATTAGTGTTTACCGAAGATTTATTTATTTTTACAGCTCAAAAAACAGATGTTTAAACCTAAATAAGGTTGGGACTTTCTTCAAAGGAGTGATTCCACTGTTCAAATAAATTAACTTCTTATGTGAAAACGAAATTGAAATCTCAATAAAAATCACATTCTCACACAAACATAACAGCCGTTCTGATATTTAAAATAGGAAGTGAATTTTCCCTCTGAATTCGAAGTCCAATAAGGAAGGTTATTGCATACCCATTTTCTCATTCCATTCACGTTTCATCGTTACAAATCGCTAATGTATATCGCAATAAATGCATATTTCATTACGTTACGTAACAAGATCGTATATATCTGGGGCCATTGGCGCCATTTTTCAGGCGGGTGCAATTGGTATCATAGCTCATGAGTGTAGGCTATCAACTCCTATCTTCGAATCGGTAGCCCAAAATCGTGGGACCACGGCCTCCCGCTATACATATACGCGCATGTCTGAGACAAAATAACGCGTCGTATAACAGAATTTCGCAGATTTTCAATATAAAAGTTTTTCGGTATATCCCGAGGATGGGACGTGGGTTATCGCGATAAACAAAGTGGGTGTTAGTCGGCGGTTCATAAATTCAGACGGGGAGGTTGTTTTATAAACGGGGAGCGATCTTTTTAAGAAGAGGATAGTTTATCGTATATGAGATCATATCTAATGCACAAGCTGTCGTCATGGTTCCTTTATTCTCATTTTCATTTCTTCATACTGACGTTATTCTAAAACGGTTTTACAGTATTTTGTATTACATAGGTTAGAATCCACTACTAGAATATTTACAGTTTTTACAGCGTCATTTGTCTTCAAAGTTGGTACTTACAAACACCAAATGGAATACGTAGACTCTAGCATGTGATTCTACTTAAACGCAATCAAAACCTTGAATGGACCGACGTTACGGTCTACGAATTTAAGTGCCTAGTCCTACACTTGGATGTTAACCTAAAAAGAACCTTCCAGCGGTTTAATCCTTCTTTGCATAACTAAAGTCGGAATTTGGCAAGACAAAGTGTACCTATTGGCATTTTTATCTGGCCCTAGCGTACCATCACGTCGGGCGCGTTTGTTCAGGTGAATATATTTATTGACTCGAATGTTCTTTGAAGGGATCAATATACCGAGCTAGAGGATACCGATATTATCGCTACCAATATCTGGGGGTGACTGAACTCATTATACATCAAAGTGATTAATGTAACGGAAATACAAACATAATGAGTTATAATCAATCAGGGATGTTTGATTAATAACCTGAAATTATTTGATGAATGTTTCAGTTCAGTTAATAAGTTTCCTAAATTGGGTAAATTTTTTTAGTTAAGTACATACTAATTTTTTCTCAACTCAGATTAAAAAAATCACTTTAAATAAATAATGTGTAAGCAACTAACCAAAATATTTTAATAAAAAACACTTGATTTCAAATGTTATGATTTTCGATTCGATTGAGTTTCATTTTAAAAAAGTAAGCAACTTTGGTAACCCTTACCATAACACCCAACCCAGATAATAACGTTCATAGAATCGTCGGTCCATAGAATTTGCCTAATTAATTAGTTTTCTGACGGAGTAAGCTACCTCCTTTATAAAGAATTGGGGGTAACAACCTCATCACCGAAAGGCAATAAAAACTTTATATCGCTTTCCGAATTTTGGAGCAAGAAACCTGGCTCATGTTAATTTGGAAGATTCCTTGTAAAGTCGTTGACACAGGAAACAAAAGGTATTGAGAACAATATGAGCACTTATGAACGAAATTGGAACTGTGTTTGAATATTTTGTTACTAGGGAACCTTACATGCCTATGAGTGGCGAGCTTTGCGTTGTACCCACTGATCACAGAAACTAAAGGGTGATGTGCCAAGGGGGCGTGGCCGTTGTCGCAGCAATATGCCTAAAAACACAACACATTGCTGCAGACATCATAATGTAAACAGTTTACATTGCTTGCGTATTAGTTGGCATCTCTCTATATCTATGTATATGGT